TACTAACTACAACTTTGATTACAACTTTTTATAGTGGAATAATTGTGTTGCCAGACTTGGCATTTTTTTACATTCTACGTTTTGGATGGGATTCCATTTTTCTATCAATATAAATATACTAAATTATTCATTGACCTTGAAGATGTTACTGAGAATATTTTTTTCAAGGTAAAGTGGGGCACCATGCCTGTAATTTATTAATCGAAATGTTGAAAAATACTTATTAAATTATAATTACTGTAATATACAGAGTGACTAAAGATTAATTGTTACTAAATCCCACACTGTTTTTTACTTTGAAATGAAAATTGTTATGTTTTCCCATTCACTACATGGTTGGGCTATTGAACCCTCCAAGGTTTAATTTAATTAGTTATTTGCTCCCGCATATTCACTGTACGAGTATATTAATAATTTACAGGACTATATTAATTTAATAGAGAAGGTAACTAGTATTTTAAGTACTAAAATATTATTCCCTGGTGTCATTTACAATTTTTTTCTATAGCAACTGTTAAAATTGCCTTATAACCATCAAAAATATTACTTTAACCACAAGGGTAGATTAAATGATACTTTAACAGCGAGGATAGGTTAAAAAATTTATTTCTTCTCGCACGTTTTTTAATTGCTTCCATTTTTGAAAATTTTTCCTTTTCATAAGTTATTCGGGATTTAAATGGAAGTAAACACACCGGAAAAGTCTAGGGATATTACAATTTTATCCAGCCATCGTCAGTAATTTTATTATTTGCATTTCTGATATAATAAAATTAAAATAAACAAATAGTTTACAGGACGTATTGGAAATAAAAATGCGAAATTTACGAAATTATTTATATTTTTTCAAATTTACCTTGATTTTTATTGAACTCAAAAAAATACACACATCTTTTTTTTTATTCTAAACTGTGAATTAAAAAAAAATAAACCATTTTTACTTAATAAAGGGTATAGCCTTCTCTACTGTTCATTACAGCCCTACATCGTCTCTCCATGATCCTGATCAGGTTGTCGATCTCTTCTTGAGGTACAGCCTGCCACGCTGCATTCACGGCCTGAACCAGATCCCTACGAGTTTCACGAGGCATACCCATTCTCAACATTCTTCTTTGGACCGCGTCCCATACGTGCTCGATGGGGTTGAGGTCAGGAGATTGTGCCGGCCAGGGTAAGATGTTTAATTGATGAGCATTGATAAACTCACTTACCACTCTGGCTGTATGAGGCCGTGCATTGTCATGCATGAGAATGAAGTTTCTCCTAAAATCATTGGCATATGGTAACACGACAGGCTCAAGAATTAAATCACGATATGTGATTCCTGTTAGAAACCTTTCAAGAAAAACGATATCGGTTTTTCGGCCTAACTGGACTCCTCCCCAGACAAATAAGAATAAGATTTCCCGGTTCTCTCCATACCCTAAGCCTTCTCGAATCCGGATGAATTCCAAAGCGTGACTCATCCGTGAAGAGAACATTGGCCCATTGTTCATTCGACCAGTGAACATAATCTTGGGCCCACAAATATCGTACCTCTCGATTTCCTCTCGTTTAGGGTTGAGCTCTCCAGGGGTGTCTGCTTCTTAAGTTGACCTCTCTTAATCTATTGCGAACAGTGTCAGGACTAACGGTTACATTATGTGTTTCCTGGAGAATTAAACTAAGCTCTGGCGCTGTAAGAGTCGATCGGCGTCGAGCATTTAATTGTAAAAAATGATCTTGCTGAGGGGTGGTAATGCGATGTCACCCTGTGTGCCTTTCAGCAACATCACCACTTTCAGGGTAGCGTGCACTTAATCGCCATATTACACTTTGCGTTGTATTTAATGCTCTAGCTACGTCGATTTGGCGCATTCCAGCTTCGAGCATACCCATGGCCCTTAGCATTTCGTCTCTGTTAAGATGTCTACGCTCCATAATGTCGTTTAATACTAAACAGAGTTATTTGAATGAATTCTGGCCAGTTATCATAAAATCATAGCCAGTACAGGTTAAATTCGAACAATTGATGCTAGGTGTTTCTTAAACATTTGACAAAAAATGCACAAACACTTCTGCAAATATCCCAAATTTAGAAATAACTAGTGTGACTACTTCGTTTCAATCGAAGTAGAAAGAATCGGCCTACAAATATGTGGTTGTTTATTCAAAACATATATTTTTAACTTTAATAAAATGATATCCCTAGATTTTCCGGTGTGTGTAGTTTGGATATTATAGCGTTTGTCGCCTCAGCCTGAATATCTGTTGGTAATTTAGTTATTTCGTTTTGAGCCATTTCTGGCTCCAATTCAATCAGCAATCGACGCGAAAGAGAATTAAAAAATATTGACTCAAACTGACAACTAAAGAGACAGCTTTATTTATTTCTCAAATTACATAGAAACCAACGCCAACCCAGCACAATATTTTTTTCTATCTTTCTTCTCTTTCTCAGCCTGGTTCCATCCAGTGTTGGATATAACCTCTTCTAGGTTTTTCCATGCTTCGCGATCTCTAGCCAATCTTATCCATTGTCTTCCCGCCACTGCCCTGACGTCATCGACCCATCTCTTTTTTGGTCGACCCACACTTCTTGTTGTTCCCCTAGGTCTCCATAGGATTATTTTTTGGGGCCATCGGTCTGGATCCGGTCTTGCCACATGTCCTATCCATTGCCACTTCAGACTTGCCACTCTTTTAACGACATCTATTAATTTTGTTTTTTGACGTATGTGGGTATTCCGTATTTTTTCCCTAATGGTGACTCCCAACATGATTCTTTCCATGGCTCTTTGTGCTACTCGTAGTTGTTCTGCTGTTTTTCAAGTAATTGCCATAGTCTCTAAGCCATACGTAAGCACAGGTAGAATGCAGCTGTCGTAAGCCTTTTTCTTTAGGTTCATGGGCACCTTTTTATCCTTGAAAATATCGCTCATATTTCCAAATGCTACCCATCTACTCGTAATAAATTCATTGAAATAATAATTTCTGAATATTTTTAAAACGTAACTCGCTGTGCAAAAAAAATGTTTTATACACGACGATAAAATTGCATTATCGTCTCCCGAAATTATTAATAATAATAAATAATTAATCTTTTCGGTCGACGGTAAAATACCATTTTATCGTCTTGTATAAAAAATAACTATTAGTAGCTTCCAGATTTTTTACCCGTATAGTTAGCATTTCTGCAATGACCCATGACGCCATCATTTTCTGCTAACTTTCCATTCTTTTGATCCATTAGCGTAATACCTAGCCATTCGCATGAGAAGTCTTGGGACTTGTTTTTCTTGAATACTTGCTATTCTCAATCTAGTATTTGTGACGTCGAAGAGGGCTGGGGTATGAAAATCGATGATAATTTTGGCGAGGGCAAGCCCTAGACGCCATTTACTTCGCCCGTACTTTTCTATGACGCTTCCTGTCAGTTAGTTGTAAGAAGGTTGGAATTTATTTTTATACAGGGAGTTTCAAAATACATGTGCCATATCTCGCGGGGAGATTCCTCACGTAAAAATAAGATTTATTTTTCATATCAACATAGGTCCAATTCTCCTTTGTTTCGTAGCTACAGGGTGTTAAAGTCTTAATAATCTTTTGATTTATTATAATTTTCTTCCAAGTACTTTTAGTGATTCGAATGAAATTTTGAGGGTAAAAGTTACTGTAAGTGCTACATATTTTAATGCTAAAAAGTGTCGACATATTCACCAGGGACGTGCGTATGGGTTATCACTGGAATATTTTCAAAAAAAAAACATGTGCGCCACTGACTTTTTTTCTTTTGATATCAAAATAGTGTAGGCCGTTTAATGCCAATTAAAAATTGGCTGTACTTAAACTGCCGTTAAACGGTAGCCTACTGAAATGCCGTTAATAGGTATGACGTCGTTGATGTGACGCACTTGACGGCTTTTTGATGTTTTGGTTAAAATGCCGTCGAACGGTCGCGTACTAAAATGCCGTTAATCGTTAATGCAGAGTAGGTTACTGATTAATACTTAATAATTTGTAATGTAATGTTGTCCAAAATCCGTCATGGCTTATTCTGAATAAAATTAACTTGGAACGGTGTATATGTAGGTAGACGTATATGTTGCCGTTGTAGGTTTGAAAATGTATTTGCGATAAAATGTAATATATGGCATTGGTTTTCAGGTTTTTATTGCAAATTATAAACTGACAACTTAAAAATAATACTACGTCAACTTAAAAATAATAATGCTATAGATAGCATTCTCTGTAAAACCACAGTTTTGATTTAGGTCGCTTAGTCAATCCTGCACAACGGATATGTCTCCATAGAAGGCATCTACTGCAACAAAGTGACATATGATTTTTCTGCGTGTCTTCACTGCACACAGAACAAAACCAACTTTGTTGAAGTCGTTTCTGCTCAACTAGATTGATTATTTTTTCAAAGGCTTTCTTGGTGCAAAAACTTCTAAAAATCGTAATTTACATTATTAGTTATTAATTTGGTAATTATTAGGTATCGCTAGACATACCTTATTATGTGGATATCAACAGCGTCATCAATAACGGCATGTGATATTTCTTCGGGGAGCATTTTAAGGTCTACAGTTACACCATGAAATTACCCATTTGTGATGTCTCTAACGATGTTACGATCCTTAACGAAGCAATTCAGGATTACATTTTGTTTTTCATGATAGGATTGTTTAGCAAATGCTACAGTACATACATCTTTTCTGTGTCTTTGGTAGTCCTATGACTGTTAAGTCCTGTCCTTTTGGACGTCCTCGTTTTTTTCTTGAAACAGGCATCTTAATTGTTGTCAAAGCGAAATCATTGACTTCAACTATTTGATGGGACTGGTTGTTGACGTCATTTAAAACTGAATCACTAATATGTTGATGCGCTTCATGTCGTGTTATTTCCTCCTCTATAACCAGCTCGTTACAAAACTCAGGTGCTTCCACAGGTGACTGACCAACAGTTGATGTACTTCCATTATCTAATATGAGCGCTTCACTCATGTTGTTTCTGTCTTGAAGGTCCGTCTCGTCACAAACCTCAGAGTGTTCCACAGAAGACTGATTTTTACTTTCAAATACAACTGCATCATCATAATTTATATGTAGCATCTACTGCAAGAAATTCTGGAAAAGCCTTCATTGTACTTTTCATGGTTGGACTTTGAATGAAAAGTCCTCTGAAATTAGGTCGGTTAGGTCTTCGTCTCGCAAAACAGCTACATTGGCACCTGAAAACAGAGTAGTTATTGGGACTAATAAGACAATAATAGAATATTTTAGTTTACCGTATTTAGCTTTAAGTATATTTAAGCAGCCATCTAAGTTTTCTTTTCTTGATTGATCGGATATCTTCATATTTCTTAAATCTTGTAAAGTAACAATTTTACCAGTACTTTCTTGAACTTTTTGCTGTATCATTTTTCTATTGGCCTTCATATTCAAATAATCCTTGACGCTTTCCTTCATGTTACTGGAAAGTTTTCTTTGGCTAAGGTTATGTGCATGTAGAACCTACAAAATATATCTTTTATGAATAAAATACTGTTCAAGCAAGAATTCTAAAAGCATACTATATGTCAACTAATCTGTAAACTTACCTTCGAAGTGACATGATTGTGCTTCATTTGAACCGATGTTGCCTCGAGTGCTTTTCCATCAGACGATGCTTTGAATCTTACATGTTCTGGGCAATCTTCTTTAAATGTCCAAGACTGTCGAATTTTTTTCCCACTGCCCTTAAACTTCTTTCCACCGGGATTACATGCATATAGAAGTTGATAATAAATCAAAGAGCTTTCTATTGGTCTCACAATTTTACTGCTTGCAATCGTACGGGCATCTCGTTTCCAAAATGTTGTGTACGTGTTTTCACCAAGTTCCTCAATCGCTTTCTTTGCGTCAGCGAATGAGCTGAACCTATCCCCAATTTTCACCATGCTAATTTCAGTCATGAAAAATAATTAGGTACCTAACTAACCTAAAAATGTTTATAGATAAATTAACAATCAGAAAACTAACTGAAACACTTACTCCATCCTGAACCAATAATATCCAGATGTACACCTTAATTAAAATCAACTTATAGCACTTAGCACAAATTGTTACTACAATAATAGTGCAAACGCGACGAAAAAAACATACCAAAAGGGCAACGGAAAACGGAACACAAATTGATTAAAGGCTTTTTAGTACGCGACCGTTCGACGGCATTTTAACCAAAGCATTAAAAAGCCGTCAAGTGCGTCACATCAACGACGTCATATCTATTAACGGCATTTCAGTAGGCTACCGTTTAACGGCAGTTTAAGTACAGCGTTAAAAATTATCCCTTGATATTTTGTCAAATTCGGCCTCCTTGATATGATAAACGCAATTGTATTAATCACAATTAGTAAAATTAAAATAAAAATAAAATTAATAAAGTATATATTTTACCTAATTTATTATTAAATATTTAAAAGCTAAACCGATTTTAACCAAATTTGGCACAAAAATACTGTGGCACCCGAGAATCTGGCCATTAGTTTTTGGTGGGGGTGAGGGGATTGGTAAGGGGGTATGGGAAGGGGTTAAAAATTTTAAAAAATCGTAACTCCAAAATTACAGTAGCTAGCGAAACGCGGTTTTCAATTTAAGATTAGGAATAATATTTGCAACAAAATTTGTACCTAATAACATCGAAATCAGTCAAAGTCGCAGTTTTTGAGATAATTGATTATTAACATATTTTAGTATGGGCGGCTATACGTGCCTCCCGGCGCCAATTTTTTTGATGAGGAATCAATGAGTACTTATTTAAAACTTTCGCAAGTTAATGATATTAAAATTTTTTAAAAGTTGCTATTAGATTTTGGATCAAGGCAAATTAATAAAATTGCGTTTATCCCAACAAGGAGGCCGAAATCGATAAAATATGAAGAGACAACCTTTAATCGGCATTAAACTGCTTACACTATTTCGCTAACAAGAGAAAAAAACGTCAGTAGCGTACTTGTCTTTTCAGAAAAATATTCCAGTGATAACCCATATGCACGTCCCTGTTGAATATGTCGACATTTTTTCAAAAATATTCTTATAAAGTTACGATGAGTTTTTTGCAACGGCTGTTAAACTGCTTCAGCATCTTGTACACTTTGCACTACGAGCGGTTCTAAAAAGGACAATCCTACAAGAAAGGACAATCCTGCAAAGGACAAGACTGCAAGATCTGCGAGTAAAAAAAATTAAGCTTAAAGTATTATAGCACAATTCACTTAAACCGAAAACTTGTAAGTTAAGTTGTTTAACAAAACTAAAGTGTCAAAACGAATTAAAATGCTAGAAAATAAATAAATAAACGTGGCAACTCGATATTTTTTACAGCAGAGTTACCACCTCAATTGCTACCGAAAAAAATTAATTCCAGTTCGACCAGATATATCCATAGTTGGCAACAATGAATTTAATAATCGCACTCTCGATGACGTAACTAAGAGTTTATTTGGTATCGATTATATCTGTAAAATCATTGATGTTTTTAGATTTTCATAGTTTTATTATACAATTTTTTTGGTTTTTGTTTTTTTTGGCTTTTAAAACATATTTTTAAGTGTTTTTTTTTCTGTGGTTATATTTCCTAGAATTTTTTTTATATTTAAATAGATTCTCTCAGCTCAGGAGGCTTCAATAGGTTTCGTAAAATCTTATTGAAATATATTTTCTAAATTAACTATTGTGTATTATGTAATAAATATTGTGAATTACCTCTAGCGGTTTTTTAATACATTTCAACGTGCTATAATTATTCTCTAATCCGTTAATTGTTTGTGTATATATTTAAATCGTCAGGGAATTCCGTAGTAAATAGAAACAATATTTTTAATAGGTTTTATTTGCAAATTTTACGATTATTTTATTATATTTTTCTATAAATAAATGTCTTGATTATTTATAAACATTGGCAAAATAATCCTTTACTATTTTACAATTAAACAAATACAAATATAAATTTGAAATTGCATCTTTCGTGGTAATTCGTTCTGTTTGCACGGAACTGATAAAAACATTCATGAAAATACTAGTGTCTAGCGTTGATTGAAAGAATTGGGAAGATATGCAACCTAATGGGCCAATTCGTGACAAGGCTGATTTGATTTCACCTTACGTCTCAAGTGCTGTACGGTGGTGACACCAATCTTTCTACGGTCAACGCATAAAACACTTATTTTCTATAATTCGGTCGGAGAAGGCATATCGAAAACGGTATCACTCTGAAAGCGTCAGTGTTGCCATATTAACATGTGTAATATCTGTAATACGTTGAAGAAAATATCTTTGATTGAAAAATCCGCATTTATGTATGTAACATTTATTCGTGTTAAACATAGAATAAACAACAAAAATAAAAATTCTTTTATAGGTACTGAATAAGACGTATGATCGAAAAAAGTCGTTTAGTTGCCTTGGAGATGACGATTTTATTGACATTTACCATAATATTTTACATAGGAAATAATAATGATCTTCATTTCCAAGCCAATTCTGACGCCGTTCTTTGTTTAATCATATAATATTATATTAAATTGTTTAATGATAGAAAATTCGTATTATAAACGTACTGTACCCAAAATCCGTAAATGTACGGATTAATCAGTAGTTTTGGCAAGATTGTCTCCGGCAACATTTTACTCTGTCGACTGAAAGTAGAGTATTCTTTATCTGCTGCGCTGTAAACGACTATCAGCGCGCAGCGTTGCAGAGCTAAACTAAATCTCGGAATTCTCGGACAGGCTAACGGTAACGCCAGCTACATCTCGGACAGGTTTTGTACAACGAAATTGCCCATAAGGTTGCACATCTTCCTATTTTTTCAATCAACGATACTAGTGCGTACGTTGATTAACAAACAACGCAACCAAAAATGAAAAAAATACCGGGTGTGTTCCATAAGAAAAAATATAAATTTGGTGTGGATCTTAGTTCTGACATACCTTGTACATTTCAAAATAATTTTAAATTATGCACATTACCTTCCTACATAGGTATATCCATAAAATATACAAAGTGATCCGAACTGTATTCCGGAAACTTCGGCAGCATATTCTGCAGATAAAAATAAGTAAAAAAGTTCGTATAAATATATGTCCTAAATTACTTAGTTTCGGAGATACAGGGTGTAGAAGTTTCATTTTTATTTCGATTTTTACCAAATAATTTCTGAAGTAACGTCAATATTTAGATGAAAATTGGTGACTGGGAGTTTTTTGACATGAGAAATTTGATTTTACTGTCAATATGACTCCTATTTGTTGGGTTCACCACCTACATGCGTTTTAATTGTTTTGAAGAGTAATAACTTTTCGTCCGTACCTGTATAAAGCTACTGAGTGAAAAAATATACATTTCCGTGACTTTTTACGTAAAAAAATGTCTCGGTAAAAATCGCTACGAGCAACCGTTCTCAAGATATTTAGAATGGAAATAGTAAATACATGTCATTATTGACAAAAAATAAACAGGTTGAGTAGAGATAGTTATTTGACTGAAATAATAAATTTGGGAAATTTTTATTTTTTTAAATTAATCATATTTTTTCTGCAAAAAAATGACGATAAAACATTTTTGTTGAACTTTTGGCACAAACACATTTAAAATTTATGATTTGAGTCTAATAACTATTTAGTCAACATGTTTAATTTATGTCATGTTGACAGGTATTGATAATTTCGATTCCAAATATCTCGAGAACCATTACTTGTAGCGACTTTTGCCAAGAGACGTTTTTTGCGTAGAAGACGTTGTAGATGTATATTTTTTTACTCAGTAATTTTATACAGGTACGGAAGAAAAGTTATTAGTTTTTAAACCGGTAAAAAAATATGTAGGTGGCGCCCCGTACAAGTAGGAGCCATATTGACAATAGAATCAAATCTCTCATGTCAAAAAACTCCCAGCCACCAATTTTCATCCAAATATTGATGTTACTTCAGAAATTATTTGGAAAAAATCGAAATAAAAATGAAACTTCTACACCCTGTATCTTCGAAACTAAGCATTTTAGGACATACATTTATACGAACTTTTTTACATATTTTTATCTGCAGAATACTCTGCCGAAGTTTCCGGAATACAGTTCGGACCACCTTGTATATTTTTTCTACATCTTTTCGATTTCGTATAACCAACCGAGGCGAATGAGGTGCGCCACCCTGTAGATATAAATAAAGTTACAAAAAATTGCTGCCCTTTAAACAAACTGCTATGTATCTATAAAATTTATTTGTAGAAAAAAGTAATAAAAATTAACAAATAAGACCTAGAAAAGACATTGTTTCCATTTGTTATGGAATTTCCTAGCAATAAAAATACCTATAAGTATGTGCCAACAATTAAAGGATTCAAGAGTAGTTAGCACGTTAATATTGATTTTAAAAACCACTCTGTGCGATTTAATATACGAGAAATCCAACCACACTTCACATACATATTTCTATTTATAAAATTTTATTACTTTGTCCTTTTTTTAATTTGTAAATATATCTATCCTTAAATATATCTGTCTATAGTCTAATATATACATATAGCAGACCAGAGAAAGTAAGACTTTTTTTATTGATCATGGTTCATTCATCGCCAAAAAAGAAATTATATTATTGGTTTCTAGCCCAAGGCTACACATTTAATAAAATAAATATCATCTAGTTTGACGTATCTTTAAAAAAATGTTTTCCAATTAAGGTTAACATTGAAAAATATTTAAAAATACCGGGTGACACAAAATCATTTGCAGATACATACATATACATACTGCCATTACTCGCTGACGAGTATTTGACACACATTAGAAGATGGTCACGCAAGGCGTTTTCTTTCATGAGCTTTTCTGAACTGAAAAGCCCGATACGTGATGTTATCTGTCTACCGCACTCCGGACATTCAAAAATCTCATTGCTGTGTTGCCTCTTTATTTTTTGGTTGTCGTTGTTAACTGAGTTTACAATTCTTCTCCATTCCGTTCTATTTTGAGCTGCTTCTTCCCACTCATTCTGCTTG